GCCCCGCCCCGGTGCCGCCCATCACCGCCGCCACTTAAGCGCCGTCGTGTTCTTCGCCGAGCCAGTGCGGTGCTGGGAGCTGGGGGTATCGTTCGCTGCTTATTTATTTCCCTCATCCCCCCTTCCTTTACCCCGCTGCTTCCAAATGACCGTGAAAGCAGCCGAGGCGTCGGGTCCCACCTTGCTTACCTATTTTATTTCTCCTTTCCCTGTCCTTTATAGCTTTCATGAAGCAGAGAAGAATGGGGCTAAACGACTTCATTCAGAAGATAGCCACCAACTCCTATGCATGCAAACAGTAAGTATCAGAAATTTCGGTCACAAATATCGCTACGTCTTGCGAGATTTAGTTAAAAAAAACCCCACGTTTGCTTACTGTAATACTTCTGGCATGACTGTTACGGAACAGTTAATTGATGTTCTTGAGGTATTACTCACTTGGCAACAAACCTTCGTGAGCTGGGTTTGGGAGGAATCAGTTGGATAGGATTTCCAGAGCCCCATCCCTATCTTGAACTGTACTTACAGTATAAACGCATTTCTTTTTGCGACGGGATTTACTTTCCGTGGATTAATTTTACTCCTTAAGCCGAACAGATTGTTTCGGTTGCCTCCTGTGATAGCCCAAACCAAAACCCGTCTTTCGCGATGCGTGCGTGCCCTCTGGCGGAACCATCTGCCTGGTGCTTCTGGTAGCCCTGCTCATCGTGCGTGCTCTCTTCCTTGCAGCCCTGAAGTTCAGTCTATTTTGAAAATCTCCCAGCCTCAAGAGCCTGAACTTATGAATGCTAATCCTTCTCCTCCGGTAAGTAGATTTTACTTAGAGGCGTGTTTAGAACATCGCATCAGCCAGTAATAGAAGCGTAGCAAAATTAGCATCGTGAGTGTTACTTTAGTTCAGCTCATAGCACGCTGGTGTGACTGGGGAAAAGAGTTATCAAGTTAGGCTGAAACTTTCTGCTGACATGGAGGAAAAATTTAAAAAATAAGCTTTACTGATCATTACTTTATTATGGAATGTGGCTAAGACCTCAACAAGAGCTTTTTAAGTAAACCATGGCTGTTATACTCTTCTTAGGCAGTACCTAGTAATTTAAAATATCTGGCAGAGGTCAAGATGAAGTTTTTAGTGATAAGAGGAATGCTAATCTTCACTTTTGAGGTCACAAGTTCACTTTAAGAAAGAGACCTTGTTGAGACTCTCACTACCAAGCTGTTGTAATAAATCTGGTTTCTGTCTGTTTATTTTTCTAGCCCAGTCCTTCACAGCAGATCAATCTTGGTCCATCATCCAATCCACATGCCAAACCATCAGACTTTCATTTCTTAAAAGTGATTGGAAAAGGCAGTTTTGGGAAGGTAAATCTAACTTGTTTGCTGTAATTTATTTAGTCTTCAGGTCTTGTGTGTAATGCCCGAGGGTCGGGTTTGTACTGGCTCTTGTAAATGGTGATCATTTAAACTAGACCCGAGCGTGCCCCGCTGCCCAGTGCCTGGCAGCTGCCCAGCGCCTGGCTCCCTGCTTAGCTGCAGGGAGAGGAAGCAGGGTGCTGCCTGTGAAAGAGTCACAGAAGAGCCAGGGAGTGCGGAGGCAGTGGTTTCGGGAAGAATATACGCTTCGCTTTTGGAGGGGGAGGGAACGAGACGTAAAGCTTTGATACACATTTGTCTGCGAGAGTGGTAACAGCGTTAGGCATTTCTAGCAAAGGGCTCGCACATCGAACCGGAGGGATGTGGTAGTGCTCAGCAGTTAACCTAAGGGATCATTTCCAGCTGTGTTTACAAGTTGTTCTGTATTTCAGTGTTGCTCAGTTCTGGGATTTTCCCCTCTTCCAGGTTCTCCTTGCACGGCATAAGGCAGAAGAGCAGTTTTATGCTGTTAAAGTCCTGCAGAAAAAAGCAATCCTGAAGAAGAAGGAGGTAAGCTGCTTCTTCATACTGCCATTGCGATGTCTGTCAAATATATTTTTACCGCTACTGCTAAGCAAGCGTACTAAACATTGATGATTTCTGATGCTTTTAGGAGAAGCATATCTGGCTTCACTTTTCCTTCCAAACTGCAGACAAATTGTATTTTGTCCTGGACTACATCAATGGCGGAGAGGTAAGCAGTAAGAAAATGGAATAGTATTTCCTGTCATGTGCACAGTGGTAGGGTAGACTTTTTCACCCTTCCGTTGAAATAAAAAAAGAGTTGCAAGGGGAAAGGTCACGGGGGAAAAGTTACTAGATTGAATGTTTCCAGCCTGCCAAGTTTTGAACTACCAAAGGATCATTAGGCCATTTCCTGCTATTGTTCTCCCTCGCTATATATATTGAGTCTAATTAAGTGCATTGTTAACAGGCTTTGGCGCCGCTTACACAACTTTGTTCTCTCTGTCTCCTGCAGTTGTTTTACCATCTCCAGAGGGAGCGTTGCTTCCTGGAGCCAAGAGCCCGATTTTATGCTGCTGAAATTGCCAGTGCGCTGGGCTACCTGCACTCCCTGAACATCGTTTATCGGTAAGCAACCTTGTTCAGTTTGTCGGGCTGAAAAAAACCCCATGCTTTGTTGAATCAGCATTGAAAAAATAATCTCAGTATCAGCTCAGATTTGCTTTTAATTATTTTTCGTGACTTAGTGAAGTTCTGTAAACAATTGCACCTAAAATGTTCTCACTGTAGCTCCTCTAACGAATGCTTGTCTTCTTTCATCTCTTCCTACAGCGACTTGAAGCCAGAGAATATCCTGCTTGATTCGCAGGGGCACATTGTCTTGACTGACTTTGGACTCTGCAAAGAAAACATAGAGCACAACGGGACAACCTCCACCTTCTGCGGCACGCCAGAGGTACGGCCAACCTTCAGCCCCCCACCTTGCACAGCAGCAGTGTATATTTATGGCTGGTTAGACAAGCAAGGGGGTATTACGGGTCTTGTAATAGCAGGCTGGCAGTGAGGACGTGTAGGACACGTATAGCTCATTGAGCAGGAGAGAACAGCTCTTGAGCCGTCTCCATGTATAAAGAGCTTGCAGCTTTCTGGTAGCTTAGGCATTGCTGGGATTCAGTAAGCTGCTTTCATTCAAGAATGGGGAGGCTTTCCTTATTATAAAGATCCCTTTGGCTCACGCGGCTCTCTTTGCTTGTCTCGCACAGTATCTTGCTCCTGAAGTTCTTCATAAGCAGCCCTATGACCGGACTGTGGACTGGTGGTGCCTTGGAGCAGTCCTGTATGAGATGCTTTATGGCTTGGTAAGCAAATCCTTCATGGCAGATCAGACTAGGGTACTTGTCGTTTCCCTGTAAGAAATGCTGTGCTCGCCTGTCAGCCTCGTTAACCTGGGTCTCTCCTTTGCCCTTCCCACAGCCGCCCTTCTACAGCAGGAACACGGCAGAAATGTACGACAACATCTTGAACAAACCCCTGCAGCTGAAGCCAAATATCACCAACTCGGCTAGACATCTCCTGGAAGGGCTCTTGCAGAAGGATAGGACAAAGAGGCTTGGTGCCAAGGAGGACTTTGTAAGTGCAAACTGGCCATTGCTTGTAGGCAGCACAGGAGGATGAGTAGGCCATCCTGCTTACATTAGCTTGGGTCTGAATTAATCTATTTTTCTCTCTGCAACAGATGGAGATTAAGAATCACATCTTCTTCTCCCCAATTAACTGGGATGATCTCATTAATAAGAAGATTACACCCCCTTTTAACCCAAATGTGGTACGTATCACTTCTAATTATAGAATGTATGGGGAGTGTCTTTTCCCCCCCTTGTCTTTGTGGGCTGGATGGCTGTGTTGGGGGAACACAGCTTTTCCTTCCCTTGTGGCTGTCCAGGCAAGGTTAAAAATAAGCAGTAGTTGGCTTTTTGCTGATAGACAGTCTAAATTTAGCTGGGTTTTTTGGCCTCTCACAAATGCTTCATCTGCGTGGCTATTTTCAAATAATCTCCAGCATCCCCGTTTTACCAAAGGGGAAGGTAGGGTGTAGAAAGCAAGTAGCTTGCCAAGGGCAGAGTTACATTTGGCTTGTCACATACTAACGTCTAAAGAGAGGGATCTGATTGTGGAGGTTGTTCTCCCTCACTTTCTGAGCATTTTCTGAACTAAACTTAGTAACTGGCCCAGAGATAAAAGTCCTCCCCTGGAAGCTGCTGCATGGCAGAGTGGCACATTTGCCTTTGGCTTTTGTTGCATGGGCTTAGTTGGAGGGTAGCGTATTAAATGGAATCATCTTGTTTTTAGTGAGACAGTATGCAGCAGGATACAAAAAAATAAAGGTCAAACTAAAACTGGCAAAGGCTGTTAAAACAGCGGGCCCGAGGTGGTAACACTGTGAGTCTCCGCACAAGGGTGCTTGTCCCCCTTTTGAATTGAACTGTGCAGTCACGAAACACCTGGATGTAAATGTGTCTCTCCTTTTCTGCCCTTTCCACAGAGTGGCCCCAGTGACCTGCGACACTTTGATCCGGAGTTTACAGATGAGCCAGTCCCCAACTCCATCGGCCAGTCCCCGGACAGCATCCTCATCACCGCCAGCGTCAAAGAAGCTGCTGAGGCTTTTTTGGGCTTCTCGTATGCCCCACCCATGGACTCTTTCTTGTGAACATTTTTCTTTCTTTTTTTTTATAATAATAACTGTTGTTTTTATTTTTGTTTGGCCTTCTGGTGGAACTGCCAGTTGACCAGTCATCTTGAAAGAAAATTTGCACATTTCCACCATGGCAGCTTTGCAGCCTTAATTTCAACTACACTGTTCGCTGGAAGCTTTTCTGAAGAGCACATCACTCTCTAAATGATCTCTACAGGCTTTTCATTTGCATTCGTTCTTCCCCCAAAGTGGTGCTGTCTCCTTGGGAAAGAAAAACAAGAGTGACTGCTGCCATAGACCGCTACGGCAGGTCGTAGGAGTAAGAACGAGCTGTTTTGAAACCGTGCTCCGAAAAGCCTTGCCTGAAGATCTGTCTGAATGTGATAAGGATTTTATGAAATGTGCCTTTTTCTGATGAGATCTTGTGAGCTCCAAAGCTTTCCCCGTTGCAGAGTGTGTTTCTCAGTTCATTTATGTGGGTTTACTATGTGAACAAATGGTATGCGTGTGGTCTGCGTGCTACAGATGGACTTAGTTTAAAGCATCAGTGTGACACTTGCAGGATACCACAATGTGGGGCATTGTTTCTTTCTTCCATATTTGGAAGATAAATTAAGTGTAATTTTGAAATTTCTTTTGTAAATCTATACAGTCAACTCAAATTATTGAAATGGGCTCACAATTACTTGTATCCAAATGCTTGAAGAAAGCATTGCTGCTATGAAAAAAGATTTCTATTTTTAGAAAGGGTTTTTATGGACCAAAATGCCCCAGCTGCAGTCGGTCAAAGCTGTTGGTTTCTTCATTTTCTTTTTTCTTTTTTTCTTTTTTTCTTTTTTAGTTTAAAAGATGTCATCTGTAAAATGGGCATTATTTATGGTTTTGGGGTTTGGGAGTTTTTCATTCCTGATTGTATGTATTGTAAAAAAGATCTGTATATTCAGTTGTAACTCTATATGTATATTTAAACTTACAGACTTACTTGTAATGTATACCATCATTGTAATGTAATGTAATTAACATGGTTATATGTATCATATTTTTTTGTGACCAAACCCATTGGTTTGCAGTAAAATCCTGAAATATACTTCCATAAACTCTTGTCACTTCTTATTTTAAAACACTTTCTGAAAAATGTTAGGAAGCTTTAAAAAAAAAACCAAACTGAGCTGCCAGTCTGAGATAGCTGTGTAACTTTGCTTAGGTGTGTGATGGTTATTGCATCAGAGTCCACCCAGACAAGTCTTACTATGGGTACACCTGGGCAAAATACTCGGTCTTCCAACTGTAGGTGTTCGAGTGGGCATGGACCAAAGTGGGAGCTCTTTCGCGACGCAAGTGTCCCACTACCTCAAAGTGAGTTTCTTTTTACCTCTAGCGAAGTGAAGGTACTGCCCTCTGGTGTGGGCAAAGCGTAGCCACTTAAAAGAATTAAGTCCTTAGGTCAGTTTTACAAGAAAAGACTTGAGCCTTTTCCAGCACGGTGCTGCAGGCATATGCTAAAAAGAGGTGGTTGTAACGCTGAGGGAAAGTCCCTGTCCGGGAGTCCATCCCAGAGCATCGGCCATTGCTGCTATGACATGGGGCAGTGTAGTGCACCCCGAGCTTACCAGTGTGCCAAAATCTGTATCACGGGGGCAGATTTCACCAAATTATCTTATGCTTACCTGGATGGGGTCAAACTGACTATTCATATAAAACTGAGCTGTTAAATACGGGTTTTTATTACTGAGTACTAGTGGGTGGCCTGCCAGAGGGACTTTCAGCCAAGAAGTAAGATAACCACTACTTCTGGGGTGATCCCATTCAATTTCTTCTGCACGGTGATGGATGGTTTCCTTCTATGAGGAAATGGGCGTCTGCACCTTATTTACAGCTCCCGTTGTCCACTGGTTACTGCAGCTGGTGGTCTTGGCAATTCAGAGAATCAAAATCAGAAGTTGCTGAGAAAAACCTGGACAGTCAGCTGTTGCTCGGGCTACTGTGACAACAGCAGTGTAAGCAAAACTCTCGTAGGGGTGATATTTCTGTTCATTATATTTCCGAGATAAAAGCATGCAGTAACTTTCCATCCTTTATTATCCGTTGGATGTAGGAACAAAAAAACCTGTATGGCTTCAGCTATAAACTGTGTCAGGGAGACCACTCTCAGAGCTGAAAATGCTAGTTTATAGCAGCCAAGGAACCTCTCTCCTCTCAGATCGTGTTAGTATATGAAAGAGATGCAGCCGCCTCCCCCTCAGATTCCAACAATCCCAAATTCATGCATTCAGTAACTGTTTGAATAGCGTACTGACAGGCCTTGCAAAGTCTTCCAGTGCTACAATGTGCCTGAAACATCTTCTGTGTTAATGACTTGCAGGCTAGAGATGTTGAACTATACGGTGCTAATTTGCTCTTAGAGAAAAATGAAACTGCATTTGCTAAGCGACAAAGTTTTGCGATACGCATTATCTTGGCCTCACATTTCCCAGGCATTAGCAAGGTGCTACGTGCAGATACGTGAGCAGAGATCTGCAGCCCTAAGGTAACAAAACATTAAGCAATATCCATCGTTTTCAAGAAAAAAACCACTGGAGTCATTAACAGTGAAGAAGCGACTCAGAGGTGTACCTTGGGTGCCTTTCATCTTTGCAAAGATGTAGGGTATTATTTTAATGGGTTACTTTTAAAAAACAATGTCAGATTGTAATTTTAACTGTTCTACCATGCATAGGTTCATTATGCGGCTGCTGCTTTGTGCAAAATTCTGCAGCTGCTAGCAATGAATATGCAATACACGCCACCTCAATTTTTTAGTGTAGAAAAGGTGAGAAATTTGTCCATGTTTTTAATCTCCCTGAATGTGATGTATTACAGTCATGTCTGAAGGTAGGGATTCTATGGCAGTCAGCTGTTTTTTGAGTTTGTTTGTTGTTTTGTTCATTTTACAGAATTCCCTGTCTGTAAGGTCTATATTCCCTTTAGAGAAAAGTCTCTGGACTGTGAAGCAAAGGGCTAGGACTCCTGAAATCCCAGCTGATGTAGCTGTTATGTGTTATTTCGACTGAGCTGAATCTGTGGTTGAATTTAACCCATTTGTAAAATGGAAGTAATCATCCAAGTTTTCTGCTGGTGGCAGTGTTGTAACTGCCACCAGCTTGAGTAGCTTTACTTAGTAGAACCTTAGAACACTTATTCTACTGTATTTCTTATGGTGAGTATGCCTAGGCTCTCATATGCCCCTTGGATGGATTGTACTGATGATACACACATAAACATTTAAATACATAAATTCACATGGTTTAGTCTCTATTACTTATCTCTGTGTACCATAAACGATGCACTATTTCATGGGCCTTACAAAGATAAGTGAAGCTTCTTAGTGACAATATTCTTCTTGCGCTCCCTCTGTACTCAACGGGCAGTTACTTCTGGAGGGCAGTCTGGATCTTTAGCAAGTTAAGCAGGAGATGCCTGTTTCTCGCCCGAAAGGTCTTCAGAAAGTAGTCTATGCCCATCTTCTGTACACTTCTCATAAAGAGCCTGTGGAAATTAATGAAGAAAACCAAGACTCTTGTGCAGCCTTGCACCTGCAGTGAAACATTTCTAGAGACAGGTGAAAAAAATGAGGGACACTGCTCAGAAAAGAGCTTTGGGGGGTGGTCCTAACTGGGCATCTTACCTGGGCTGCCGAAAGGTAGGCGAGATGAGTCCTGGCCCACCCATACTCTTCTAAGAAGTGAAATGAAATATTCCACATCACCACTCAGCTATTTAACTGCGGTACCAGCTCTCACAGATGTTTGTGCGATGGCCCGTGGCTGCAGTCACCCCAGCAGGGCTAGTGAGATGGCTTCTAGTAAAGATGGTTTCGGACACTCCCCACATCTACAGTTTCTGCTGTCAAGACCAGCGTATAAAGACTGGGATAAAATTTTCCATGCTGGCTTGAACTGTCTATGGAAAGTTTCTGGAAAAAATTGCTTCCAAACTTGCCAAAAAAATGAGGTTTAAAAAAAAAAAAGGTTTGTTGTTTGCGAAAGACAACTTCAAACCGTTAATACAGAGAAGCACTGCACTTCTGTTTTGAACCAGAGACAGCCGTGGCCAGCAGACTGCGCTGGTGTCAGGTGAGGCTCTGGGTGAAAGCTCTCCTCTCCGAGAGACCGAAGCCCCGCAGCTGGTGGCT